CCCCATCAAACACTCCCAGGACAGGAACAGCATGGGGTTAGATACAGGGTAAAGCTCCCTCTACATTGTCCCCCATCAAACACTCCCAGGACAGGAACAGCACAGGGTTAGATACAGCACAAATAAGTAACTCTGGCTGGTAGAACGAGAGGGGCAGATTTTAATGGACATGGTCATTTGCCACTCTCTCACACTGCGCCCCCGCCCCCCACCCACCCCCCACCTTTGCACATAGCACAGAAGGTGAACATGCCGGCTGCACATTGGCACGGGAAGGACCTCAGTGCCAGGACCTCGCTGTGCCACTGGGGGAAGCCTCCCTCTGCCACGTGTACAAGAGCTTCAGTGAGGATACAGCCAGAGCACGCAGTCAGTTTGTACATGGCTGTGTTCGCAATGAGGACTCTGTGGGTAGACTGTGGAGGTTTGGAGCCTGTCCTTTGTGAAAGATTGAGTAGAATGGGCCCATAGGCTTGGATCATTGCAAGGTGATGTTATCTGCTCTGGCCCAGTGAAGTGTCAAGGGCTGGGATTTTTTTCACTTGAGGTGTAGGAGGTATAGAGGTTTGTAACATGCTTTGGGGTACAGATAGAGTGAATGGTCGGAGTGCTTTCCCTAGGGTGGGGGGGATTTCAAGACTAGGGAACATATTTTTAAGGTGAGAGGAGAGAGATTTACAAATGATGTGAGGGGCAATTTTTTTTTAACACAGAGGGTGGTTCACGTGTGGAATGAACTTCCTGAGGAAGTGGTGGATGTGGGTACAGTTACAGCGTTTAAAAGGCATTTGGATAAGTACACGAATAGGGAAAGGTTTGCAGGGATATGGGCCAGGAGCACGCAATTGGGAATAGTTTAGTTTGGGATTGTGGCCGACACAGATTGGTTGGGCCGAAGGGTCTGTTTCCGTGCTGTATGACTGGGGATCACATTGAGCTTGGATAAGGAGATGCAGTGAGGCGAAACCGTTCTGTCTTTGAGCATTGGGAATCTCTGGAAACCTGCAGGATCGGGGATTGATGGAATGGTGGATGATCCACCAATGTCGGGAGGAGGGGTGGTTCTTGAGGGGCTGAATGGCCTGCTGTGGTAACCTCTTCCACACGTTCTTCCCCCAGGATGTCTTTCGCTGACTTCCTCAGAGAATTCAACCGCTTGGAAATTTGCAACTTGACACCGGACACTCTGAAATCAGACAAGGTTCGCAAGTGGAGCACCTCCCTGTACGAGGGCTCATGGAGGCGTGGGAGCACTGCCGGAGGCTGCCGGAATTATCCAGGTATCCAGGGTGGGGGTTGGGGGTTGGAAATCGGCAACTCCCCGCCAGGAGACCCACCCATCTCTGAGGCCTAGTGCCACCTGCGACGACCCTCCAGCCTGGCCCCCTGCCCTCCACCCTATTCTCGCCGTTCCCCCTCGAACTCTGATTCCCAAAAAATGGGATCGGCAGCCTGGAGAGCATTCTCCGAGCCTCTGCCACTCCTGACGAACATTCCCTGTCCCTCCTCACTCACTGAGCTCCTTTCTGGAACTTTCCTCTTCTGTGCCAGTTTTCCAGCGCAGTTCAGCTTCTCCTGCCCCTTCTGTTCTGAGCCCCTCGTGTTTGACCTTCCATCGAAGCCCCCACCCCAGGGATAGAGAGAGAGAGAGAGAGAGAGAGAGAGGGAAAAAGGGGGAACAGGGCCAGGCCTTGGTCCCCTTGGGCCTGTTTGGCCTTCCAGCCCAAATGCAGCCTCCATTTTCCTGCCCACTCCCCGAGATCTAATCCCAGCCTGAAATATATTTAATGACGGAGGGCAGAATTCTAAGAAATTCCCCCGAGTGAAGACACGACCCTGCCCTCATCCTGGGATTGTGACCCCCTCCGCTCTGTGGGCCTAGACTTCCCCCACACACACCACCGCACGCCGCACCCCCCACCCCGCCGAAGCAGGGGCAAACAATCTCTCAGCCTCAACCCTGACCCTCTGAATCCCGTCTACCTCGATGCGATCACCTCCTCTTCCCCTAAACCCCGTTCACTCAGACTCTCCTGGGGATCGATCTGGTGAACCTTCTCTCTCCAGCCTCCTGCATCCTGGTACCGACCACCTCCACAGCTGTTCACCGCCTGTGTCCATCTCGCCTCTTCAACCCTGCCCTAATTTTTGAGAGTTCCTGGCACCCAGCCCCAGTCACCTGCCTGTTTTTGTCTGACCCCTTGGATGCGTTACTGAAACGGATTCCCGATGGGATCAGCCGGCTGTATCCCCTTCCCTACGGTCGTCGTCTTCACTTCCTCCTCGGGAAGGTTACCTGGAGAAATGACAACAGCATGGTGTGCTCTGAACCCAGCCGTTGGTCGGGGAGGGGGTGGCGTGCTGTTCTGCGCCGGTTCTAGTAGCTCTTGGCATCACTCTGCCCTCTACATTATACCCCACCCTTTGGCAAGGTCCCTGTCAAACTACACACCACTGTCTTGATTTAATGGCGAGAGAGAGAGAGCTCTATGGTCTTTGGTATTGTACATCTCATGGGATGTGGGTGTACAGATAAGGCCCGGTATTAAAGCCAACAGAAATGCGGACGCTGTAAATCAGAAACAAAAACAGAAAAGCTCAGCAGGAAGGGTCACTGGGCCCGAAACGTTAACTCTGAGTTTTCTTCACTGATGCTGGCAGACCTTTTCCAGCAACTTCTGGTTTTTTTTTTTTAATATATGTTTTTAAGGCCCGGTATCAGTTGCCCATCCTTAACCCAACACAGTGGCTCTCCAGACCCGCTTCACTGGGTGGGTACAGAGTGAGCCACAGTCAGGCTGTGGGGCCTGGAGTCATGGGTAGGCCCGGACGGGGTGATGGTGGCCAGTTGGGTTTTAGGGACGAGCCCACCTTCTCTGACCCTGACCCCGTGCCATCCATAGAGAAACTCCCTCAACCCTGGGACCGCCCAGATCAATAAGGCCTCCCCAACCCCATGGGGACTCTCCCATCCTTCCCCAGATTGTGTTGGGGGGGGGGTGGGGGAGGGTGGCCAGACCACAGTATGCCTGCTGGGAGGGCAAACCAGAACTTGATAAACGTTCAGCACATCCCTACCGGCTGCTCCAGTACTCGACATCTCTCTGTTCACATCCTCGAACTTGTGTTCCAAATCAGTGGAAGGATTGGGGCCTACGATCTGGGAGATCCACGGTTAGCTTTATAAAGGATGTTGCTGCACCTTCTGTACCCAGAGTACAAGACAATTCCTGGAGTGCCTTGTCTTCAATTAAACCCAATCCGTTATGGAAACCGCACCATGTCTTTGAGCACAGTTATCGATTTGTTCCTCACTTAGAGAACACTCTCTGCGGCCTTTCGACTTGGCAGGCATCACCAGTTCTAACTCGGTTGCTCCTCCGGGAGGTTTCAGTCATGTTTAGTTACCCCTCTCCCAGCATCCCCTGGGACGGTCTGCGCCAATCGGGAATGTTGTTCTCTCTCTCTCTCTCTCTCACTCGGCCCGCGTGGGACAGGCTGTGACCCTTCACCCCTCCCCAGTAAACCAGCCCCCCGCCCCACTTCACCCTTAGCCGTCACCCCTCACCCTCACGCCCCGCCCATCCCCCAAACCCCTCCCCCAATTCCAGATGGAATCAGCACAGTCCCTCAGGAAGTGGTGGGAGCTGGAGACGGGTGGATGGGGTGCAGTCGGGGGAGGGGGTCACGGGGACCCAGCGGGAGGATGGGCACTATAACTGAGCCAGGGCGAACACGACGGGCCAAAGGGCCTGTGCCCACGGTGCCCCCTGTCCATGGTGTCTCAGTGGGCAGACGCCCCACCCCCAACCACCAACCTCCCTGCCCACTCCCTTCCCTGTCTCGCCCTCACTCCCTGTCCCATCCCCTCCCTCTCCCCTCGCTGTGCTGAGGGACGTTCCCCCCCTGGAGGTGAAGGGGGGTTTTGGTGAATGAGAAGGGTTTGCTCCTGTACTGATGGCTACTGTTACCCCCCCTGCCACACCCAAACCCACCCCTGGCTGCCCCAGCCACTTTCTGGATAAACCCGCAGTTTAAGATTGAACTAAAGGATGAGGATGATGACCGTGAGGGAACCGAACCGGGCTGCAGCTTCCTGGTCGCTCTGATGCAGAAAGATCGCCGCAAACTGCGCACCGCAGGCCAGGACATGGAGACCATCGGCTTCGCCATCTACGAGGTGGGCACGGGGCACCGAGGGGGTGGGAGCGGAGGGGCGACTCTCATTGGGTGTTGGTTGGGGGTGTGGGATGGGGTGGGGTTTGCTGAGGTCGCTGAAGGGATTGCAGGGGTCTGGGCTCCGAGCCAATGGCGGATTCTCTGTCCTTGGGTTTCTCTCTCTCTCTCTCTCTCCTGAAGTGGGTGTCAGCGCTATTTGACTGCTGGAGGCCTCATGGCTCAGATCATTGCCTTGACAGTTTCCTTCCGCACTGCATCGCCTCCCCCCAGGAACCACAGGATGGGTGGCGGGGAGCTGGGGACTACTGGATGGGTGACGGGGAGCTGGGGACCACTGGAGGGGTGACGGAGAGCTGGGGACCACTGGATGGGTGACGGAAAACTGCCTGATAGGCATCTCCCTCGTGTAAGACAGTGGCTGGGGAGGGGGCGAGGGTCACTGGTCTAGACCAGGGCTATGTCGGCAAGGGACAGGGATGGGGGTGAGCTGGAGGATGATGGAGAGGTAAGTGGCTAAGAGTGTGAACAGCAGCGAGGTCACAGATGGGCCGAATGGCCTGACAAGCGTCGGCTGGTGATTATCTGGGTCTCGATGTGTTGACGCACACAGCCCCTGGGGAGGGGCAGGTCCCTCGAGACCCGCCGAAGTCGGGTGAGGGTCTCGGAATCGTGAGGTAGGGACTTCCGCACGGGCTGTGCTGTCGCTATGACAGGCTCCAGTGCCTGGCATGATGTCGCACATCTCTCTCTCTCTCTCTCTCTCCGATTTATCCTGCTCCAATTTCCAGCCTTTACCTGTTTTCTCTGCAGGTCCCCCGCGAGGTAAGTCGCCCTCTCTGTCTATGGATCACCGCTCGGAACAGGTAACAGTCTCCGAAAACATCGTCTTGTAGGAGAGCGAGGGGTTGGAGTGGACCCTGTGTCACGGGGATGGGGTTTGGAGTGGGCCCTGCGTCACGGGGATGGGGTTTGGAGTGGGCTCTGTGTCACGGGGATGGGGGTTTGGAGTTGGGCCCTGCGTCACGGGGATGGGGGTTTGGAATAAGCCCTGCGTCACGGGGATGGGGGTTTGGAGCGGGCC